CAAGCACAGTGCTTGGTACTGGAAGCATAATGGAGGGCAAAGTAGATCCAGTCCCTGTAATCTAGCTGGGATGGGCATTAATAGAATAATCTCACACATAAACAAAAAAACTGTGTCTTTAGTAAGTGTTCAGAGGTCCCGTGAGAGTTTTGGATAGAATAGGTGCTCTGACCTGCTCAGCGAGGTCAGAGAAAGCTTCATGAATGAAGTGTTGACTGAGCTGAGTAAAAGTCAATAAAGTGAAAAACCAGGTAAAAGAGAGCAAATCAGAGGGAAGAGCATAGACACAAAAGTTCTGCAGAGGAAAGCAGCAGAGTCTGTATAAGAGACTGAACAGAGCCTTGTGGCTTGAGTGGAGAGTGAATTGGGGGAGCCAGGCAAGATGAGGCTGGGGACAGCTAGAGTCAAGTAAGGAACTCTTGCCGCTGAAAAGTGACCTGGATGGACATCAGATCTGATAGCTAGGGTGGTAGCAAAAGAAATAGAGAAAAGCGACCTGGTTTGAGAGACATTTAGGAAATGAATGAAGAACAAAATAATGATGGGCTATGGGGTAAAGAAGAGAGAAAAATGCCAAAAATGGTTCCAAGTTCCCAGCTTGCGTAACTGGATGGGGGTGGCAGGGGGCGGGGGGGGGGACAAATACTGGAAACACCTTAATGGCTGGTGGGTGGGAAGCGGGATTTAAATTTAGTTTAGACATGCTGAGTTTGAGGTGCTATTAAGATATCCAAGGAAAGAGTTTTCTCTTTCTTATTCTTTCAGTCACATCTTTTGGAAGTACTCTGATGTCTGTTTTATGTTGTGTCTTCCATATATACAAAAAACTTCTCTTACACTGACTCTACTATTCAGAAGTTGAGGAATCTTGGCCAAATCACTATGTTGCTCAGGCTTGTCTTGAACTCCTGGCCTTCCACCTCAGGCTTCCCAAGTGCTGGGATTACAGGCATGAGCCACTACCTGGCCTCATCATTTTTGTTTTAAAGTTACTTGAAGAATATAAAGGTTCATTATAAATATGTACATCTTATCTTAGCCGGGCATGGTGGCACATGCCTGTATTCCCAGCTACTCAGGAGGCTGACGCGGGAGGATCACTTGAACCCAAGAGGTGGAGGTTGCAGAGAGCTGAGATGTCGCCACTAAATACTTCTTATTAAAACTAAATTACCCAGAGTTCTCAGTTGATACTTTTTTGCCTCGACAATTAGGCTTTGTCTGATATTAACGCTGTGATCCATGATTTATTATTGTAGGCATTTGTCTGACAGACTTCTGCCTGCTATTTTACATCTTACTTTTAACATTTATAACAGCTTTACTGATACGCAGTTCACACACTATATGGATTTGTTTCCTACGGCTCCCACAAATCACCACAAACTGGGTGGCTTAAACCCACACAAATTTACTTTCTTGTTTCACTTGGCTAAAGTCAAGGTGTTGGCAGGGCCAGGTCCTTCCGCAGGCTCTAAGGGAGAATCGTCTCTTTGCCTTGTCTAGCTTCTGTCTAGCCTGTATCACTGGCTCTGGACCCCTCATTGCGTCCAACTTCTTGCTTCCACCAGCACATCTACTTCTATGCCAATCTCCCTTTGTTTCCCTTTTATAAAGATACTTGTGATTATATTTAGGGCCTACCTAGATAATCGAGAATAACCTCCCCATCTCAAGACTCTTAATTACAACTGCATTTTTGCTATGTAAGTAACATTCACAGGTTCCAGGGATTAGGACCTACACATCTCTGGGGGTCATAATTCAGTTTGCCATACCAGACAATTCACCCATTTAAAGCATGACTTTATACTTATAGGGTCCTAAAATTATCGCCAAAATCTAATTTTAGAGCATTTCATTCCCCCTAAAAGAAAACCATGCCCACTGGCTGTCACTCCCCATTCCTCCCTTCCCCTTCCCCAGTCTCTGGCAACCACAAATCCACTCTCTCTATATAAATAAGGTTTATCTATCCTGGACATTGCATATAAATGCAATCATACAATATGTGGTCTTTTGTAACTGGGTTCATTGCTTAGCAGAGTGTTGCGAAGGTTCTTCCATGCTGTGGTATAATGAGTACTTCTTCCCTTTTTCTTGCTGAATAATATTCTACCCTATGGATATACCACATTTTATTTATCCATTCATCAGCCAATGAACGTTTGAGTTGTTTCCACTTTTTGGCAATTATCAACAATGCTGCTATAAACACTGTGAACAAGTTTGTGTGTGAACATGTTTTCAGTTCTCTTGGGTATAACTTAGGAACAGACTGCTAGGTCACATGGCAACTCTACTTTGAACATTTTGATAGACTGACAAATTGTTTTCCAAAGCAGCTGTATCATTTTGCCTTTTCTTTCTCCAAATCTTCACCAACACTTTTTGTTATCTTTTTGATTATACTCATCCCTATGGGTATGAAGTGGTATCTCAATGTGGTTCTATTTTCATTTCCCTAATGACTAGTGATTAGTCTTTATTTAAAGACTAGTGATAAATAGTGATCAATAACAAATGATTATTTATCATTAGTTCTCTTGTGCTTACTGGCCATTACTATATCTCTTTGGAGAAATATCTATTCAGACCTTTTACCTATTTTTATTTTTATTATTATATTTTGAGACAGTGTCACTCTATTTCCCAGGCTAGAGTGCAGTGGCACAGGTTCTTGGCTCACTGCAACCTCTGCCTCCCGGGTTCAAGTGATTATCCTGCTTCAACCACTGGAGTAGCTGGGATTACAGGTGCCTGCCACTGTGCCCAGCCAATTTTTGTATTTTTAGTCGAGATGGAATTTCACTGTGTTGGCCAGGCTGGTCTTGAACTCCTGACCTCAAGTGATCCACCTGCTTCGGCCTCCCAAAGTGCTAGGATTACAGGCGTGAGCCACTATATGCGGCCCTTTTATCTATTTTTAAATTGGGTTGTCTTTTTATTGTTGAATTGTAAGAATTCTTTATATATTCTCAACACAAGTTTTTTAAAATCAGACATTATGATTTGCAAATATTTCTCCCATTCTGTGTGTTGTCTTTTTACTCTCTTGATTCTGTTACTTTTGAATCTGCTTTTAACATTTGTGAGCGGCTATGAGTATGACATATACATTGAACAGAGGTGGGTCTGATTTGGATTGTCGTTCCAACCTGAAAGAACATCATGCCTTTAACGAGGCAGTTTAACCCATTTATATGTATGGCTTATAACAGAGTTAACTGGCCTCACTTGTATTACTGTGTTCTAGACTATGTGTTTTATTTAGTTTTTAAAAACTCCTTCCTTGCTTTCTGTGTTTTATACAGAGACTTGGTCTTGTTTCTTTTTTCTTTAGTATTCTGGAAAATATATTCTGCTTCTAAATTTTACTGGTACTTGCATTCCCTAACCTATATTTAGTCAGTCAAAGGTAAAAGCTTTTTATCTTAGTCTAGTCTACCCTGTTTAACAGAGTCTGTATCTTCCTGTATTCTATGGAGAACTTCAACAGTTTCCCTAAACTTAAAAACAATTTTTTTGCAGTAATTTTCAGAAGTATTTTTCTGAGTCTTCTAGACGAATCGTTTTCATAGATTGCACCATCTTTACCACTATCAGTAGTAGTATTGTTTTAGCTTTTCAGTTCTAGAGAAGAGAAGACATGCCAGATTTCATGGTTGTCAACAGTGTGACAGTAAAGGCTATTTCTCAGGTACCATTTTGAACTAGAAGCCTTCTACTATATTCTTCTAAGGAAAGGTTGTAACATATCCTAATTGTAGGGCTTCGAATTTTTGGAAAAACTCAAAACAAAACTCAAAAATGTTAAGAAATAACCACAACATTTCGGGGCTAAGAAGATGGTATGAAAAAACTACAACAAACAGAATTTCTATCAACGGATTAGTAATTCTGAACTCAAAAAAAGCCTATATTCAATATGGCAGACATCTAATAAATGTCGTTTTAAGCTAACAAATTTTATCCTAATAAAAACAAAATGCAATTTAAATCCAGACAGATCATTATTCTACTAATGATTCAAAGTTAATGTGGCCTGAGAAAGAATAGTTCTTATTGTATAAGTACACAGGGGCAAAAGACTATTTTTTATAAAATTAGCTCTGGATAATTATACAATCAAAATGTTCAAATATATTTCTATATTTGGAGCAGAGTATTAAATCAATTCTTTGAAAAAATGTAGATTTCAAATATGTAACTCAAATAAAGATCAATAAAGTGCCCCCAGGTTTCCCTCATGAAGTCAACACCTTGGAATTATCTACTATTTTGTTTCTGATATAAATCAGTCATTTTGTTACAAAATCCTGCATTAGTTTCCTAATAAAGAAAACAACGTGTTTCCCTGCCCCCTCTCATTCCGGGATAGGAAGATGGTTTGAAAAAAATACAACAAGCAGAATTTCTATCAACTGACATTTAGTAGATGTCTCCTATATTGAATATAGGCATTAAATTTTGAGTTCAGAATTACTAATTTGTTGATAGAAATTCTGTTTGTTGTATTTTTTTTTCACACCATCTTCCTATCTCTGAAATGTCGTTATTTCTTAACATTTTTGAGTTTTCCCAAAAATTCCTGAAGCCCTGCAATTAGGATGTATTATGACCTTTCCTTAGAAGAATATAGTAGAAGGCTTCTAGTTCAAAATAGTGCCTGAGAAATAGCGTTTACTGTCACACTGTTGACAACCATGAAATCTGGCATGTCTTCTCTTCTCTAGTACCGAAAAGCTAAAACAAATCTAAAACCCTCCCCTGACCACCCATTGCATCTAGTGAGGTAAAATACCTTGACACAGGAAGTAAAAATAGTAATAATCTTCTTGTTTTGATATGAATAAAGTAGTCTGAAAACTAGTCCCCGCTCGCACTGCTGGATTAGGGGTAACAGAAATGCCAATTGTTATACTACACAGAGGATCAGAAGAATGGGAGCAACTGACGGAAAGCAAAGGGCATCTGCGAACAGCTTGGTTCTCACTTACCACATTCTCCAAAGGTGCTGCACCAAACACTTTAAAGACAGGGTTGGGTTTGGAGGGTGAGATACAGAGGACAATAGCTTGTTGTCCCACGCGAGTAGTATATTCATCTAATGTAGCTCGAAGTTTCCTGAATCAGAAAAGGAAAAAAGAATAATAAGTTTTAAAAAGGTAGAAATTATAGTGACATAGACACAAATGACTTACTCTAATCAGATGCGCTTTCTTTTACGTAAAATGTGAAAAAGAGAATGTGAGATTTTCTATCCTATTTAGCAAAAATATGTACATACCTTTTTCTTAATGACTACTGATAGAAGGGTCAACTGAAGGTTTTGCCTTGGGGATACAGCCATGACACAATTTTGAACACAGTATCATTCTTCTTGAACTCAGCAACACCACTTACTGATACTTACAATTATAAAGATTACAACTAGCCAGGCATGGTGGCACATGCCTGTAATCCCAGATTCTTGGGAGGCGAGGGACAAGAATTGCTTGAACCCAGGAGGTAGAGGTTGCCGTGAACCAAGATGGCGCCACTGCACTCTAGCCTGGGCGACAGAGTGAGACTCTGTTTCAAAAATAAACAAATAAATAAAAATCACAACGAAGATGTGCTCTTACAGAATTTATCATATCTCCATGCTTAATAAAAGGGGCTCAAATGATTTGCTTTTACTATTTCTTATTGATATAGTCATTGTTTATATCTCATTGACATAATTTTGTCCAAAAATGCTACAAGCATACCGAGTTTTATTGTGCTTTGTTATTTTATGTTTCACAGATACTGTCTGGGGGGTCTTTTTTTTGAGATGGAGTTTCACTCTTCTTGCCCAAGCTGGAACACAATCTCGGCTCACTGCAACCTGCACCTCCCAGACTCAAGTGATTCTCCTGCCTCAGCCTCCTGAATAGCTGGGATTATAGGCATGCACCACTGCACTCGGCTAATTTTCTGTATCTTTAGTAGAGATGGGGTTTTACCATGTTAGCCAGGCTGGTCTTGAACTCCTGACCTCAAGTGATTTGCCAGCCTTGGCCTCCCAAAATGGTGGAATTACAGGTGTGAGCCACCACGCCCAGTCAGGACAGGCTGATTCCCTTGTTAGGGGCTAATTCAGCTAGTGACTTTAGGGTCCTTTAAAAATCGTGGTATCCTGGCCAACATGGTGAAAGCCCGTCTCTACTAAAAATACAAAAATTAGCTGGGCATGGTGGTGCACACCTGTAGTCCCAGCTACTCACGAGGCTGAGGCAGGAGAATTGCTTGAACCCAGGAGGTGGAGGTTGCAGTGAGCCAAGATCGCGTCACTGCACTCCAGCCTGGCACCTGGCAATGGAGCGAGACTCTGTCTCAAAAAAAAAAAAAAAATGCTAAATCTACTCTGCCTGTGCTCTATAAACAGAACAACAAAACCTGGATGGCAGCATATCTGTTTACAGCATGGTTAATAGAATATTTTAAGCCCACTGTTGAGACCCACTGCTCAGAAAAAAAGGATTCCTTTCAAACTATTGTTGCCCACTGACAATGAATGCACCAAGACATACAAGAATAATGCTGTTTTCATGCCTGCTAAGATAACATCCATTTTACAGCCCATGGATCAAGGAGTCATTTCAACATTGAGGTCTTATTATGTAAGAAATACATTTTGAAAGGCTATAGCTGCTACAGTGATTCATCTGATGGATCTGGGTAAAATAAATTGCAAACCTGGAATGAATTCACCTTTCAAGATTGCAAGTACTTTCACCTTAATGACTGCACCATTAAGAGTACTTGCAATTCATAGGAGGAGGTCAAACTATCAACATTAATGGAAGTTTGGAAGAACTTGATTCCAAGCCTCATGGATGACTTTACAGGGTTCAACACTTCAGTGGAGGAAGTAACTTGCAGTAGAAACAGCAAGAGAACCAGAATTAAAAGAGGACACTAAAAATGGAACTGAATTGTCATAATTTCATGAAAAAATTTGAATGGATGAGAGTTGCTTCTTATTGATGAGCAAAGAGTGGTTTCCTGAGATGAAATCTACTCCTGATGAAGATGCTATGAATATTGTTGAAATCACAATAAAAGATTTAGAATATTACACAAACTGAATTAATGAAGCAACAGCAGAATGAGGGGATTTACTCTGATTTTGAAAGTTTTACTGTGGGTAAAATGCTATCAAACAGCATCCCATGTTACAGAGAAATCATTCATGAAAGGAAGAGTCCATCGATATGGCAAAATTTGTTATCTTATTTTAAGAAATTGCCACAGCCACCCCAACCATCAGCAACAAGCAACCACCCTGATCAGTCAGCAGTCATCAACATCAAGACAAGACCCTCAACCAGCAATAAGATTACGACTGAGTGCAGCCTCCATGGGCATTAGCATATTTTAGCAATAAAGTGTTTTAGGGGTCAGGCCCAGTGGCTCACACCTGGAATCCCAGCACTTTGGGAGGCTGAGGTGGGAGGACTGCTTGAGCCCAGGAGTTCAAGCACAGCCTGGGCAACACAGTGAGACCCTGTTTTTACAAAAAGAAAAAATTAGTGAGGTATGGAAACATGGACCTACTGTCCCAGCTACTGAGTGAGAGGATCACTTGAGCCCAGGAGATTGAGGCTGCTGTAAGCAATGACTGCACCACTGCATTCTAGGCTGGACAACAGAGCTAGATTCTGTCACACACACACACACACACACACACACACACACACACACACACAAAAGGGTATTTTAAAATTATAGTATGCACATTGTTTTTTTAAGACATAATGCCACTGCAACACTTAACAGAGTATAGTGTTAACATAACTTTTTTATGCACTGAGAAACCATAAAATTTCTGTGACTTATTGTATGACACTTGCTTTATTGCAGTGGTTTGGAATCAAACCTGCAGTATCTCCAAGGTATATCTACACTTTAAAAATGCTGTAGCTTCAGATTTCCATTGTGATATAAACAATTATTCTCAGTCCTATAGTATTTCACAAGTTAGGATGAAATAAAAACAGCTTTTTTTTTTTTTAAGATGGAGTCTCGCTCTGTCGCCTAGGCCTCTGCCTCCTGGGTTCAAGCAATTCTTCTCCTGCCTCAGCCTCCCAAGTGGTTGGGATTGTAGGTGCCTGCCACCACGCCTGGCTAATTTTTTGTATTTTTAGTGGGAATGGGGTTTCACCATGTTGGCTGAGATGGTCTCGAACTCCCTACCTTGGTGATCTGCTCGCCTCAGCTTCCCAAAGTGCTGGGATTACAGGCGTGAGCCACCATGTCCGGCTGAAAACAGCTTTTTTTAAAAAAAAAAATTTGTTTTACTTTAAGTTCCAGGATACATGTGCAGAATGTGCAGCTTGTTACATAGGTATATAAGTGCCATGGTGGTTTGCTGCACCTGTCAACCTGAAAACAGCTTGTTAAAATATAGTAACAATGAATTAAAGAGAAACATTGTGTTTCCCTCTGAAATCACAGGAAATTATTTTAAAGTTCTACATTTCAGAATTCTCCTGGGAAAGTCTTCTACCCTTTGAAGAGACTAGTGAGCAAAGGACCACTTATCAAACAAGAAATCTGATGGAATTCTTTGAAACAATGGTGTATATTCACTGCCTCCATTTCCTCTCTCCCCATTCTCTCTTAAAGCTATTCCAATCTTTTCATCCTTACCACTCCTTTAAATACACTCTTGTCAAGTTCAGTCGTGAACTCCATGTTACTAAATCTAACGGTCAGTTGGCATCTTTTTCAACCCATCAGCAGCATTTGATAGCTGATCAGACGCTCTCCTTCCTGCCACACTTTTTGTACCTGGTTTCCAGGATACCACTTTCTTGGTTTGTTTCCTGACTCACTGGTTGCTTCTTAGACTCTTGCTGGTTCCTTTCATCTCTCCAACTTCTAAAAGGTGGAGTGCTTCAGGCCTCAGTCCACACTCACTCCCTAAGTGACCTCATCCAGTCTCCTAGTTCTAAATACTACCTATATGCTTATAATATCATCAGCTAAGGCCTCTCATTTGCATTCCAGACTCATATATCCAACTGCTTATTTTGTATCTCCACTTAATGGTTAGAGGCATCACAAACTTACCATGTCCAAAACCAAATTCCTGATTCTGTCTCACCCTCACTGCCATGTTCGCTCCTCCTTCAGTAAATGTCATCTCAATCCTTCTAATAATCAGACCAAAAATCACCCTGCACTCTTTTTTTTCCTCTCACACTCCACATGAACAAATCATGGTGAGTTGACTTTTGAAATATATCTAGAACCTGATCACTTTTTACTACCCATGCTGCCGCCATGTTTTAAGACACTATCATTTCTGGTCTAGATTACTATATTCACCTCCTAATTGGTCTCCCTGATTCCATTCTTGTATCCCCAGAATTTATTCTCAACACAGTAGCCTGAATGTTTCTTTAAAAATATAAGTCAGCATGGCATGGTGGCTCACGCCTATAAACCCAGCACTTTAGGAAGCTAAGGTGAGTGGATCATGAGGTCAGGAGATTGAGACCATCCTGGCTAACACGGTGAAACCCTGTCTCTACTAAAAATACAAAAAATTAGCCAGGCATGGTGGCATACACCTGTAGTCCCAGCTACTCGGGAGGCTGAGGCAGGAGAATCACTTGAACCTGGGAGGCAGAAGTTGTAGTAAGTCAAGATAGCACCACTGCACTCCAGCCTGGGTGACAGAGTGAGACACTATCTCAAAAAAAAACAAAAAAACAAAAAAAAAACCCAGCATTTTGGGGCTGAGGCAGGAGGATCGCTTGAGGTCAGGAGTTTGAGACCAGCCTGGACAACATAGCAAGACCACATCTATCAAAAAAAAGGAAAAAAAAAAAAAGATCTCCTGGTGCATCTCTTCTCTGCTACTCTGAACATCCTCTCATATCCCCCTGGCTGTTCTTCACACATAACTACCACATTCACAACTCAGGGCCTTTGCTCTTGATCCTCCCCCTACCTGAAATGTTCTTCCCCTCAGCATCAGCATGGGTGCTCTTTCGGCGTCTTCATGTCTCTGTTCAAAGGCTGCCTTACCAAAAAGCATTTCTCAGACCACCCCGTAAATGAGAAAAGCGACTCTGTCCCCCTACCTCCTGACCTTTCTAGTTTCCTTACACCACTTTTTTTCCCATCGCACTTATCGTCACCTGAAATATTGCAAGTTTATTTTTTCTTCCCCCCTCTAGCAGAATACAAGCCTTTAAGGCAATTTGTTTTGCTCATTCTGCTATGCCCAATGTCTAGAACAATGCCTGGCACACAGCAGGCATATAACTCTTCTGAATGAACTCATGTGATATCATGTATCTGTTGGTTTTCATATATTTAATTTTGTAAGAATACTTTTAAGACTTATCTGTCATCAAGGAATCGAACCAAGCATCCTTGACAAACTAAATAACATATGTTCTAAGTCTGTCATCTAAAGGAAGTATTTGAGGAATAGTAACAGTATGGATAAGGGAGCCCTCACCGAAGCAAACGTGTTTGTTGCCTCTTCCGGATAGATGGATTAGACTCAAATACATGAGGCCGTTTCCGTTTCTTTCCTGTTGCCACAGCAGCAGCGGCGGCCATTCCCACAGGACCTGAAATAATAACGTACATGCTGAGATTAGGCAGCAGCCTATAAACTGTTCAAGACAGAAACAATTAAAGGTACAAACAAGGTAGCATAGCTTTCCTAATATGTTGTCCTAACATGTTTTCCTAGTATGTTGCTTTCTTCATATGTTGTAGAGAATGGTCCTGATATTACCCATATACTTCACTATTGGTCCTGATATTATCAATACACTTCTCTATTGCTTAACATGATTCATACTGTGATTTACCAATAAAACATACAATGAATCTTTTTAAAAAGCAAATGACTTACACCTCCCCACCACACACCAGTTTGAATTTTGCATGACGTTGTTTTTGTTTGGTTTTGTTTTGCCAGCATCCCATACTGTTAAGGCAATATTCTTAGAGGTGCTAGAAAAAACTGCAGCACCAAGAAGGGAAGCTTGCCAAAACTGAAAAAACGTACAGCTTTCAATACGTACTTCTATCCCTGTGCCCGTTTCCATTACTCCAAGACACTGCCAAGTTAAAGAAGTTGGAGAGAATCACTCATACTTGGAACCCCACAACACCTAAAGGGGTATCTGGATGAATACCATCTTAACTGAAAAACTTTCCTGTTGATCTGGGAATTGTGCCCAAAAAGGAGATGTTCAACACAAGGTCAAGTTGACGAAGGCATTCTGGCAGAAAAGAGGTAACTTTCCCACTGTGAGAAAATGTTAATCAAAGCTGGCCTGGCTTGCCCTGAAACTAATGTATAATGTTTTGTTTTGCCTTTTGAAGGGGAGATGGAGGGTAGACTCTAAGGAACTATTGAAGTCTCTGATTCCTGGGACCTCAACATATCAAAGACAATCTTTTTTAAAAGACATTTCAACTTCATCCTTATTTGTGAATCCTTATTTATTTAAAAGGCTTAAATAAAAACGAAATTTAATTGCTCATCTGGATGCTGGCATATATAAGTCTAAGTCGCTCAAATAAAATAAGCCTCCCTGTAAACCTAAATGAACTTCTCTACATGTTGTTAGTAATATAATCAGCCTGACTTAAATAAACCCCTCTAAAGAACATCAAAGCAAATAAAAAATCAGCAACTGCTTTTTACCTTTCTTTCCATCATAAATAGCTGTTAGGAAAAAAATTTTATTGCTGCATTTCCCAACATTTTATATTTCAAAATTGTGGTAAGAACACTTAACATGTTATCTACTCTCTTAAAATTTAAAGCGTACAACACATCATTGCTAACTATAAGCCCAACGCTGTACAGCTATCCAGAACATATTCACCTTGCATCACTGAAGAGCAATTCCCCATCTGTCCCTCACCCCAGACCCTGGCAAGTGCTATTCTGCTCTGTCTCTATGACTATTTTAAATATCTTATATAAGTAGAATCATGCAGTATTTGTCTTTCTATGACTGGTTTGTTTCATTTATCATAATGTCCCAAGGTTGAACCATGTTGTCACATATGACAGAATTTCCTTCTGTTTTTAAGGGTGAATAATGTTCCATTGTACATGCAGATCGAATTTGCATTAGTCATTCATCCACTGATGGGTATTTAGGCTGTTTTCACATCTTGCTATTGTGAACAATACAATGAACAAGGGAGTGCAGACATCTCTTTGGGGTCCTGATTTCAATTCTGTTGGATAAATACTGAGAAGAGAGACAGCAGGATCATAGACAGTAGTTCTATTTTTAACTTTTTGGAGGCATCTCCATGCTGTTTTCCATAGCAGCTGGACCACTGTGCATTCCCACCAACAGTATATGAGAGTTCCAGTTGTGCCACAACCTCACTGCCACTAGTTATGTTGAACAGCCATCCTAGTAGGTATGAGGTGGTCTCTTCTCTGTGGTTTCAATTTGTATTTTCCTACTGTTGTTCTCCGTGATGTTGAGCATCTAACTATTGGTGATTTATATGTCTTCTTAACAGAGATGTCTATTAGAGTCCCTTGCCCACTTTTAGAATTAGGTTATTTTCGTTTTTTGCTGCTGAGTTGTAAACACTTCAGCAGGCATAGCATTAGCTAGAGTTCAATATTTCTTTACAATTTTTTTCTTTTGAGGTAAAATTTGCATATAATAAAATATACAAATCCAAGTATACATTCAATAAATTAAAAAAATGTATATACTCATGAAACTCAAGATCTAGCCAGGCGCAGTGGCTCACGCCTGTAATCCCAGCACTATGGAAGGCCAAGACAGGAGGATTACCTGAGGTGCGGAGTTTGAGACTAGCCTGGCCAACATGGCGACACCCCATCTCTACTAAAAATACAAAATTAGCTGGGCGTGGTGGTGCACACCTGTAGTCCCAACTACTCTGGAGGCTGAGGCAGAACTGCTTGAATCTGGGAGGCAGAGGCGGAGGTTGCAGTGAATGGAGATCATGCCACTACACTCTAGCCTGGGCAACAGAATGAGGCTGTGTCTCAAAAAAAAAAAAAAAGAAAGAAACTCAAGACCTATAATAATAACATCACTCCAGAAAGTCCTTTTATGTCCCTTTTCAGTCAATTCCCATCCTTACTTCTCAAAGATATCTATGCACCACTATGCATTCAAAGATACCTACTATTCTCATTTTCTCACTGTACATTAGAGTTTTGCCTATTCTGGAGCTTTAGATAAATGGAATCATATAGTAAATACTCTTTCATTTAAAACTTCTTTCACTTAGAATGTTTCTAGATTCATCCATGTTGCCATATGAATCAGTTGTTTGTTCCTTTTTGTTGCCAAGTAATATTCCATTGTTTGAGTAAACCAGTTTGTTTATCCATTATTCTGATGGATACTGGGACTATTTCCAGTTTTCAGCTATTGGGCATAAAGCTGCTTCATTTATTTACAAACTCAATACAGTTCAAATAAAACTCTCAACATGGGATTTTGTGGAATTTGATAAACTGATCCTTGTATTTACATTAAGTGCAAATGGCCAAAAATAGCAGAAACGATTCATAAGATTTTAAGGATTTGAAGGCATTCATCCTACCACATATTAATAATTATAAAGCTATACTCATTAAGGTTATATCTCCACTGACTAGAAGGATGAGATAAAATAAATAAAAAAGATTATATCTATAGTCATTAAACTAGTGTGGACCTGGCTCAGGGACAGACAAACCAATGCAACTGAACTGCAGATTTCATAAACATCCTCCTGTGTCAGAAAGACAAAAAAAGGATAGGTTGTTAAATATATGACGCCGGTTATCCATATGGAAAAATAATGAAATTAGATCCTTACATACAAAAATAAATTCCAGGTGGATTAAAGGCCTAAATGTAAAACAATAACCTCAACAAAACCATGAAAAACAAAAGGAAGGCTATAATCCAGCACTGTGGAAGGCCAAGGCAGGAGGACTGCTTGAGACCAGGAGTTCAAGACTAGGCTGGGCACTATAGCAAGACTCCATTTCTACAAAAAAAAATTTTAAACTTAATCAGGCTCGGTGCTGCACACCTGAGGTCCTAGCTACTCAGGATGCTGAGGCAGGAGGATCACTTGAGACCAAGAGTTTGAGGCTGCAGAGAGCTATGATTGCATCACTGCACTCCAGCCTGGGTGGCAGAGTAAGATCCTATCCCTAAAAAATAAATACAAACTTTTAAAAATGAAAATTATAATTTCTATAATAAACTACCATCGAATATTTTATAAAGTCAGAGTTAAGAAGAACTCCTTGAACAAGATCCCAAAAGGATAAAATGTTACCTTATATACTGTTATAAGGTAAAAGATTAATAAATTTTATAATAATAGAAATAAAAATCTCATGAACAAAAAAATAACAAATGGGGTAGGCAACAAACTGGAGGAAAATGACTGCAACACGTATTATTGGGAAAGGAATACAAAATATATATCAATAATTTTTACAAATTGATATAAAAAAAGACAACAAAAACTGATTTGAAAAATGGGCAAAGGTATAAACAGGAAATAGGCAAAGAAAGAAAATCAAGAAGTCAATAAAGATCTAAAATGGTGATTTACCTCATCTTACTGCACTGGCTGGAACCTCTAGCTCAACAATACAAATTAAAGCAATATTGAGATACCGTTTTATACCTACTAGATTGGAAAAAATGAAAAAAGACTGGCAACACCGACTGTGAGAATGAGAAGCAGCCGGCACTACAGCACACTGCCTGTGGGGATGTAAATAAATACGATTTGGAGAGACATTTAGCAATATCTAGTAAAGTTGAAAATGGACATCTTTGGCCCTCCAAGTCCCCTCCTGGGTATATCCTCAAGTAGTATTTTTCAAGCTATAGCTTGTGTGACCTTTCAGTGGCTCTTGAGTATGTATTGTTTTAATAGACTATACTAGAACATATCACCAAGTATATAATTTGTAGTAGGGGTAAGTATTATTTCATTAAAATTATAGTTTTGGCTATAGGTGTATTCATTTATTTTGGGTCACAATGTAAAATGTGTTACTGTGGTCCATTGTCAAAACAAAAAATTATAAACAACCTGAGTATCTACCAATATATGAAATATTCAGGCTGGGTGTGGTGGCTCACGCCTATAATCCCAGCACTTTGGGAGGATAGGGTGAGCATATCACTTGAGGTCGATTTCGAGACCAGCCTGGCCAACACGGTGAAACCCCGTCTCTACTAAAAATCCAAAAATTAGCCAGGCATGGTGGTGTGTGCCTGTAGTACCAGATACTTGGAAGACCGAGGCAGGAGAATGCTTGAACCCAGGAGGCAGAGGTTGCAGTGAGCTGAGATCATGCCACTTACACTCCAGCCTGGGCAAGAGAGTGAGACTCCATCTCAAAATAACAACAACAACAACAAAAGAAATATTTAGATAATGAATGGAATACCAAATAACAGTTTTAAAAAACCAGCCATATTATCAACACAGTAAATCTCAGAAAAATAATGTTGAATGAGATAAACATAATATTACAGAAATGGTATCAGAGTGACACAATCTAATATAAAATTTAACACATGCAAAACAATGCTAAATATTGTTTAATCATACAGACACATAATAGCAAATATAGACAAATGCAAGAGGACAAAGACCAAATCTAGAATACTGGTTACCTCAGTGGAGGGAGGGAGGCGAGCAGGATTAGAAAGAGTTCCACTGAGAATTTCAACCACATCTATACTTTTTATTTCTTGAAAAACATTTGACATAAACATGTCAAAGCAGTAATATCTGAACTGACAAAGCTGGGTAGTGGGTGCATGTGCATTGGTTATGTCAATCTTGATACTTCTCTGTATGATTCAAATATTCAAGTATTTTCTGCTTGCTGGACAATTTACCAGAACTATTACTTTCAAGGTACTAATTATGTCTACAGACCATGTGAATCTTTCTCTGCTTCTTTATTACCCTATCCCTTATCATTTCAAAAAATGAAAAAAAAAATCCAAATTTGTTTAAAAAGAAGTCTTCTAGGGCTGGGCTCAGTGGCTCATGCCTGGAATCCTAACACTTTGGGAGGCCAAGGCAGAAGGATCGCTTGAGCCCCAGGAGTTCAACACCAGCCCTGGGCAACATGGCAAAATGCTATGTCTGAAAAAAATTTAAAAATTAGCTGGGTATGGTGGCATGCACCTGTACAGCTACTCAAGAGACTGAGGTGGGAGGATCGCTTGGGCCCAGGGAGGCTGAGGCTTAGTAAGCCGTGATTCCACCACTGCACTGGGCAACACAGTGAGACCTGCCTCAAAAAATAAAAATAAAAAATAAAAAATTGATGATTGATACTAAAAAAGGTCAACCAACTTGAGATATTGTTTTTATTACTTGAAGATTTCATTTAGTTGCACTACTTATCAACTTTCTTTTTGAAAATCAACAATAATCAGGGGCCGTCTGTGCTGCAGAGAATTCTAAGTGTTTTTGAGGGGCAACTCAATATACTG